CTCTCTCATACAGGATGTTGAGGCGTCTGCTCTGGTAGTCTGTGCAGTTGGATGCGCTGGAAATCTAATATAAAGACAAGAAATCAGAATCATCCTAATAAACTTCTCTGTAATCCAATATACAACTGTAGTATCTGTGCAAATTAGGCCTCAATTGACAATATTGACAATTGAGGCCTAATTTGGAAGGTTTGAGAAAGTTTCTGTACCCCTACGTTCACTTCTGGGTGACCCCTCCTCATAAAGGTGCTTCACATCACCTCTTTTTGCTGTACATGATCATTTTGGTCGTACAAATTTCCATATTTTAGGGTAGCGTGCCTCACTTCCAACTGAACAGCTCATTTCAGGAATGTTATTGTGGCAGTGCTCCCGCTATAACCTGATAACATGGGTGCCAAAATGAAACGCAAGACATTCAAGACACTCACACATCTAGTGTCTTAAATATGTGGGTACAAATCTTATCTTCTATAAAGTTGCATAGGGAGAAATAATATATTAATACATCCTGTCTGTTTTAAAGTGGCAAAAGTCAAGTTTAACTTTATTTGTAGGAATGACAGTGTGAGGGCTTACTTTGTGTGTCTGAGTGAACTTCAGATTTAAAGAGCTGTGGCTGAAAGGGGAGTGAGTAACTAAAGACTCTTCAGACTGAAGGCAGGTTTGTGTGTCTGTTCATGAAGATCTATGCACAAATCAGCCCCTTCACATCCAGAATATCATGATCAGCAGGTTATCAGATGAAGTTCAGTTATCATTTTCCATATGTGGCTCATGATTTAGCAATTGGGACAGTGAGTACTGTAGGTATCAGTGAAATGATGGGGCCCACCTCTCCATAACTGTTCCTCCCTGGCATCCAGGCTTCTATGTCATACTTCCTGCAAGCAGGGGGACCCAGTTCCTGTGTGGGCATGTCCAGCACTCTGAGGGAAAACACATCAACTTACAGCTCAAAATCAAGCTAGAACTCACATAATGTACTCCACTGTTAAACTTGTATGTAAATGTAAACTGATGAATAAAATAATAGGATTACTGAGATTGTTTGAGAGTGTGTACTGACCTGTAGTGTAACTCCAGTGCAGAGAACATCTCTTTCTGCAAGGAGACAAACTCACCCAGCAGCTGAGCGCTCTCCTCTCCTGTCTCATCTGCTGTCACTCCAAACATCTCTACCTGAGCACACAAAACATTCTAAGTTCAAATCACTGAGTTAAAATCAAAAGTGTCCTGTGTCTGTCTCGATGTGTAACTGTCCTTTCGACCTTGTTGAAGTGATGAACTCTGTAGAGGCCCCACGTCTCTCTGCCGGTGTCGGTCTCTGCTCTGTAGCAGGTGCTGCTGCACACAGACCTGCAGTGACAGATGACAGCTCCTGTCAGCTGCACTTACTTTAATATTAACACAGATCCACTGCAAACTATGAGTGAAGCTGCTCCTTACCTGACAGGCAGGTCCTTCCAGTTTACTGCATGATCCATGAAATAGCCTGAGGATGAGAGACTCTTGTCAGGTTATCACACACTACAAATTGATGCATGTCTGTTTGGCTTAAACAACAAACAAACATTTGACTATGACTGTAAAGCACAGATTTAAACATGTTCTGCACATCAATACTGGTTCTGATATCTAGCCTCACTGCAAAGTCCTATTAACTACTACCTCCCTTAGTTTACTTTATTCTCAAAGGCTTTTATCAGCTTTCTCTTAGTTAAACTTGACTTTTTCAGTATTGCAAGAGCATTGTGTGAAAACAGAGATAATATTTGATGAGAATAGTTGGAATCATAAATTGATGGATTACATAAATTTAGATTCAATAAGAATAATGCAGAAACACATTTATTAAAATCCTGAAGGTGTCAAGACTAAAATCTCATTAAAAGATCAGTCACAATAACTATGGGATTACAACATCATCGGAACCAGTAAAAAACACATGCAAGATGAACAACTTGTGCATTGAACTCATCACATACTCTTGTATGTGCACCCATTACCACCAGAGATTGAATCAAGCAGAGAAACACTGCTGGTCATTCATTGTTACAAGTAAACATCATTGTGATTGCAGCACTCGCAGCAGTGCATTAACAATGAAGAGCTGAGTTCAGTTTCACCTGCTGTCCCGACCTCTCCAGTCCCAGCCAGGTTGAGATCCGCGAACCGAGCCGGGTCCAGGGAGTAGACCTGAGAGCGGTGAGCGTTGGGCTGCATCCCACAACCCTCCTGGAGTAGGGAACAGAGACATGAGTTATTGGCTTGAAGATACATTAAACTTTTGATGATTAGTGTCTGAACATTTAATTCACATTTTTAGATTAGATCTCATGTTATCTTTTATCAAGTAAAATGTGTTCAGAGTTCTTCTACTCACAAACACTGCCCCCTTCAGGACATCAGGTACAACCATGGGAATGAAGCCCTGCAGTCAAAAGGAACAGTCAAGCTTGGCTCTTCAATATGTAACCAACAGACACACGATATGCAAAAAGTCCCGACATGTGTTTACCCGTCGCTGCAGTGTGTCGAGGGCAAAGTTTTGGAGTGCGGTCTGAAGTCTGGCTCCTGCTCCCCTCAGATAATAGGACCTGTGGCCTGAAACGTGAGCTAGATGCCTGCAGGAGAATAAACAAACAGAAAATCAAAACATCATCATCATCATCATATCAATGACAGTAAACTAAATAGCAGCCAGAGGATTACATTTTACAGTATTTATTTCAATCATATCAACTAAAGATTTAAAGTATATGATGACAAAGAACAGCTGTCCTCACCTCTGCCTGATGAGACCCAACTCCTCACCCAGTTCTACGTGGCCCCTTGGCTTGAAGTCAAACGCTACAGCAAAGAGTGAAACGATTTTATCCATAACTTTTTAAAAATCCATTCACCAAAACATCTCTAGCAGCTCTGATCACATCACTCACCAGGTTTTTGTCCGACCAGCTCCACCACACTCGCCTGGCTCTCATCTCCAACTGGCTGGAAAATGGAAAGGAGACTTTATAGAAAATCTCTCCCCAGATGCTCTGGACAAAGTGTGTGAGAGAGTGTGTGTGTGGTGTGTGTGTGTGTGTGCTAACCACATCAGGGTGCGTTGTGTTGGGCAATCTGAGCGCTCGGCTGTAGTGCTCCTGATCCAGCTCTGTCTCTGCAGGGTAGAGCTCATTCAGCCTGTTGCGAATCTCTCGACCTTTCTGCAGAGCCTGGGTGTACTCCTGAAGCTACAGATTAACAAAAAAAAGAAAGAAAATGAGTCACCAAGATTTAATCAGTAGATAAAAAAAGAGATGAAGCTCGAAGGTTGGAACTTACATTGGCAAGAGCTTTCTTGTCATTCTTGTTCTGGAGAGAAAAAAGGATCGAGTAAAGTAACAATTTGGGGATTAGAGAAAATATATTAATATATTTTTGTATTTATAATGTTATAAACAACCAACACAGCATGTTTTTAAAAACTGGTGATGATGACCCACTGCTGTAAAAACCTTAACTGACCACTAGAGCTCTGACGGTGACACCGATGTGACTCTTCAGCTTCTCCAGCTCAGAGATCTCTGTCCTCACAGCCTGCAGCTCCTGCCACACACATACCTGTAATATGGAGGGACACACACACACACACACACACACAGACACACACACACACACACAAGTGGGAGAATCCAGTAAAACAGTGGACATGAAACTAAAAAAGTATTTCAGTTTACACATTTAACTTTCCATGTTTCCTTGTGTTGCCCTTGTTTGATTGCATAGGTCCATTAAATATTGAGTCATCCTCAATGACACAGAATCATTAATTAACACTATTATGAAGGAATTTGCTGTTAGCAGCAAATGACATAGTAAACATAGTATAAATAGTATAAAACAATATAAACTGAACATATCTCTATATCTAGACCTCAAGTGCAAGGACATGAGGTTGGACTTCTTATTATATAATGTAAGGGGACATCTTGTGACTGAATTTTATTAGATCTGAACATGAGAGTTTACTTTGATTACTCCTCTTACTCTTCTTCACACACACATGGAGAAGACTTCAACAGATCCAGCTGCAGTCTCCGCAAACATGTCGGTGACAGAAGATGGAGCTGTAAGTTCAACACTTACGATCTTCCTGACATCGTCCGGCTGCAGGTCGCCCTTCCTGTTCTCCACATTCGCGATGACTTTGTCGGTCTCCTCACACACCTGCCTCATGTCCAGCTCCGGCTTGTCGCTGTAGCCTTCACGGACATGGTCGTACAGGCTGCTCCGGCCCCCGTGACAGAGGCGCTGCGGGACGAACACGCATGTCCTCCGCCCCGCACCCTGTCTACACACCGGCTTCAGCCCGGTGAGCGCGGCGCCTCCAGCTCTCACCACCACACCGATGCACGCCGCCATGTTTGTCTGGTGGTGACTGGTGCATTTACCGAGTGTGGGAATAATGGGCTTCATGTAAACTCCTGCTCAATCTTACACATTATGCACCTAAAAATGTTCGCGTTTGAATAAAGGGAAGACATGTTATGATCATTGAACCCTCACGTGTTTGGATTTTATTAGAACAGGGGTAGGACAAGACCAGCCTGTTGCTTGTTCTCACTCTTTTTAGGAAGAAAAAATAAATATGAATCTATGTTACTGAATATTTCATTTTTTTGCTACGTATGTTCCCGATGTTTATTTCGTGATTCGTCATCAATTGTGGTTTTGTTTTTACCTTTTGAAGTTCGATCTAAATGAAACTATTATTTTCTTATTGAGCTGCTCATGAAAGCAGGGCGCACTGTGCAGAGGGCGTTTCAAACGGCCATGATTCTTTTGAACGCAACATAAATGCGGAAGTTGTGCGTTTAAAAACAAAACATTACGGGAAAAAACGTTTAGAAAATTATTTTAAAATCATAAATATATATATATTTTCTATCTGAGGTAAATTAGGGGAAATCGTTTTAATTTTACCGGTAACGAAAACAAACCCGTCGCCTCTCTGACCTGACGTCACGGGTCAAAGGTCAGCCAATCAGATGAGCGGAAGTAGAACGTTGCGGTAATCCGGTTCAGACATGACAAGTGCGGCCGACTGAAGCTGAGCTCGACTCCCGGTGCTCTGGTGAACCTGACCCCCCGCATCGTCCTGCCGCCGAGTCGGACCCGTGTGCTGTCTGCCATGGTGGACTGAGAGCTGCGAGACCGAGAACCGTGACCGTCGGAGGGGAAGTGGAGCTTCTTTGTGAGCGAGTTTGCTCCCTGGGCTGGCGGTGATGTTGTGCACGGGGCTGCCGGAGCAGCAGCAGCAGCAGCAGCGAGGAGCCTGACGCATCCCCACCGTAGGCCGCCGGGACGAGCCCTTACCCTCAAATGAGCCCGGAGGGTAAAGACCACCGAGTGGGAGCCTGGGAAGTCCCCAGAAACTTGTGCTAATAACCGGCCACTTGGATACAGCGAGAGCCCGCTCCTCCACACTGCCTCACCGATTCCTGCTGAGAGGGAGACCCACAGCTTTCACGGTGGAAACGAGAAGGAGAGCGAAGGTAACCACACATCTTTTCTGATCCAATGAAGTGATGCTGCAACACCGGCCTGCTGTGTGTTTCTCTGGGTTTCATTATGACCAGTCTTTGTTCAGGTGGTTGAACTGAAATGGAAACATGTTGTGGTAACAGGGTGTGGTGAATATGTTGCTAACTTATCTGAACAATAAGATGTACATGAACATGTCATGGTGCTAGCATGGAGTTTAGCTGTGAAGCCACATTTCTCTTTAAATGGGTCATGACTGGTGCAGGCCTCTATCTGTAACACTAACACACACACACACACACACAGACACAGGCCTGTCTGCTGCAGATCTAGGCTCTGCGTGCACAACATGATCTAAGTATGTGCTCACTTCACTTCTACATACGTGTGTGTATTTATATGTCTGTGCTGTGTCTCAGATGAATGCTGTGCGGGGGGGCACAGTCACCTGGCGTCCCCAGCCGTGGCAGGACGGGGACGGGGGTGGAGGGGAGCCTCTGTCCGACAGCGACTCAGAGGAGGAGGACTTCCCTGATGACAGCACCACCCCGCTGGGCGACTACATCACACATGGTGAGAGGATGGAATATTTTTATTTGGGACTTTTATTATGACTTATTTCCTTTCTCCTGACCTCCCTACCATTATTAATCTCCCTTTATTTGGTCTGTCCTTCTTCCCTCCCTCCCGTCCTCCCCCTCATCTCTGGTGTTTTTAGGACTGAAGCAGCTCCTGGACGCTCAGCAGCTGTGTGATGTTACTCTGATTGTTGAGGGGAAGAAGTTCATGTGTCACAGGTATTGTGATAAAAACATTAAAAACCTAAACTCCCTGACGGCACTCAATGTATTCCTATTAGTTTAAATGTGACTGGGTCAGCCATCTCCTAGTTGGTGTGCAGATTCAAACACAAGAGTCATTAAACCATTTATTTAGGTGAATGAGTGGATGGTTGGATGGAGGAGTGGGTGGGTGGGTGGATGCTTTTAATAGATTGTGCATCCACCAAGTCAATAAAGCATCTGGAATCTTAATGAGGAACACAAATGTATCTCATATATAAATGTTAGGGGCTATAAGGAATGGTGCATGGCCACATGTTCTTAAACAAAAGGATTTGGCTGGACACACCCACACCTTAAGTACCCCCCCCTCACAACTCCTCCCCTTTCACAGACAGGTAAACCCCTTCTCCAAACCTCACAGGATGGGCCTTGATCGTGGCTTGACATTCTTTAACAATTGTTTAACAGATGGTTGCAATATCTGGCATAGCAGTATTGTAATCTGAGAAGAGCATTCCAGCCGTGGATTGCAGTTAACAAATACTGTTGCACTATTATTAAATTCATAGCCATTCATAGATATTTAGTGTTGGTGAAAATGATAATATGATGTACAAATAATGATATATGCTGAATGCAAGTTGCTGGAGCCTTCATGTCTTAGAGCGATGTGCGTTTCTGTTTTCACAAAATCTTTTCCCGTTTTAATTTAACTAGAATGGCACTCAGTAGAGCGTATACCTCTGCCAAGGTCTCCTAAATTCAATCAAGCTGCTTTAAATATCGCACGCTCAAACATATCAGTGCCCTAAATGTGTCATATTTTTAATTATTCAAGATCCATGAATAATTCCCTTGGAAATGAGTGAAAATGTTAAAAAAATACAACTGCATCTTCGCACCAAATTTTGATGACTTATGTCCAGTAGTTTTTGTGTGATTAACTAACTTACAAATGAAAACATCCTCCTTGGTGGAGGTAATAAATGCGTTGGAAAAACAAATAGGCAGATTAAAAAAAACTTCATAATTCTTCTGATTATATTACTGATTCATTGAGTAATCAATCATAATATAGAAATTCAGTTTTGCTGCTGTCAGGGACTTGAAGAGAAGAATGGGTAATGACAGCTGAAATAATGAAAGTTGACCCTCAGATAAGATGCTATGATACAGGCCAGCTCTGTTCTTGATAAAATCCATGTGCAGCTTTTTATTTGATATCAAAGAGGGAACATGAGAGAGGTTTACTGGTTTGAAGTAAGCGGCTTCTCCCTGACCAAACGGAACAGTGGTTTCTGTAGACCTGTGTTCTCAGAGTTCTCTGACTTCTACAGAAGTATCTATCTACTATATCTTCTGCATTCTTCTCTTTTTCCTTCCAACCTTCTCTCTGCTTAGAGTCCTCTTAGCAGCTGTGAGCCCCTACTTCAGGGCCATGTTCACCAGTCCCCTGGTGGAGTCTCGCCTCACAGAGATCCGTCTGGAGGAAGTGACGCCGTCTGTCATGGAGACCGTCATCCAGTTTGTGTACACTGGTGAGGCAGGGCTCTCTCTGGACACAGCTGAGGATCTGTTTGTGGCCGCCAATCGGCTGCAGGTCATGCCTCTTCAGGACCTGTGCTCCAGGTGAAGTGGCTGTGTGAAAGTGAAAGATGAAGTTTACAGTGATTGGGACTTTACAGATCAATCAGTTATATATTTACTTTAACTTTCCTTTGTTTTTTTTACCTCCCTTTCCCCCCCTCTTCTGTTGCTTTTCACCTGTCTTTCTATCCTGTCATTTCTCTCAACTCTATCTCTCCAGGTTTCTATTTGAGCACCTCTCAGTAGATAACTGTCTGGGTATGTACTCTCTGGCTCGCTCTCACCACGACCAGCTGCTGCTGCGTGCCTCCCTGCGGCTAGTAGCCCAGCACTTTCCGCGGGTGGCCCGGCAGAAAGACTTCCTGCTACTTGACCACGGCACCTTAGGCAGCCTACTGAGTTCAGACCGCTTGGGAGTCGACTCGGAGGCCGAGGTCTACGATGCTGCACGCCGCTGGGCAGAGCATCAGCCCTTGGACAGGTACACCCACATGCCTGCTCTGCTTCACCACCTGCGGCCTGGGCTGCTTTCCCAGGAAGAGAGCCGAAGACTGTGCCAGGAGTTGGGGCCTGCCGCAGCTGGTGAAGGCCTCGGGGGGCCTCTGAGACCACGGGAGGGAATGTTTGAGAAGAAGATCGTCTGTGTGGACCTGACGCCTCGGGAGGACGAGAATTTAGCTGCGAGGGACTACACAGTTGACTGCTTTGATCCTCGGACAGGAAAGTGGGAAAAGTTAGCAGCGCTGGGCTCTCTTGTCAGCCCTGGCTGCACTGCAGTAGGTGACAGGCTGTTTGTAGCTGGTGGGATCCTTCGGACAGGCTCTGTGTCAGCAGCAGTACACGAATATGATGCAGTGTTGGACCACTGGATAGAGCGGCCTTCGATGGTCCAGCCCAGGGCCATGCTCGGCCTGCTGGGCTGTGGGGAGTCACTCTATGCCTTAGGTGGCAGTAACCGCTCCGCCCTGCTGGACTCCAGCGAGACCCTGGAGCTTTCAACACTACAGTGGGCTCCGGGGCCTCGGTTACCTCTCCCGCTGCGTGCCTTTGCCTGCGCAGCCCTTCGTGGACGACTGTACCTTCTGGGTGGAACCACACTCGAACAGAACCGAGCTGTGGTCCACTCTGGCGTGCTCATTTATCACACTCTAACCGACTGCTGGACACGTGTGGCACTGGACTCCGGCGCCACCTGCCTTGCTGGAGGAGTAGCCGTGCGAGGAGGGGTCTGTGCTATCGGGGGATACATGCGGGATACCACCAAGTTCCTTGATGGAAACTACACTAATCTGGAGACTTTAGACGCCACTGGTCGTGTTCTGTTTTTCAGAGAGGGCAGGGGCTCTGGCGTAGAGAGGGAGGTGACAGGGGGAGGGGTGATGGTGACTGCTGAGCAGCGTGGGGCTGCAGGCGGTGGAAGCGACCGAGCCCCAAGCCCTGTGGTATTTCCTGGGCTGCCTCGGCGGATAGCAGCCGGGGGTGTGGCCAGGTGGAAAAGGAGGATTTATGTGCTGGGTGGGGAAAACGGCTCACGGTTCTATGACAGTGTGTACTGCTGGAAGCCCGGTTGGCGCAGCTGGGTCCAGAGACGTGAAAAGCTTCCCGGGGATACTGGAGGAGTGAGCCAGTTTGGGTGTACCACTCTAAAATTCCCTAAGAAACACATCCTGTCCAGACTGAGACTAGCCAAAGAAAACTGCAAGAAGGCTGCTGACTAGCTTGACTGGGCCCATTCTGACTGAAGTCAAGGCAGCCATTCATGCGACACATAGATGAGGTCCAGGCTGTGTTCTTGATTAGCTCCTCCTTGACCCCGTGATATGAGATGAAGTCATGAGGAAGAAACCATTTTATACAGTTGGCACGCAGCCACAGAGCTGGGTGTTAGTGGACTGGATGCAGACAGATCTTGTGAAATTGAATACGGATCGTCAAATGTACAGGCAGAGAGAAGTGGAGCCAGTAACAGGTTTAAAAGAACAGACAACACGCACCTGAATGTAACTTAAACCACTCGCTGTCAGAACAGTCAAGTCCTCAGAGAGAGAACGGGGCCTTTGAATTGTATTCTCACATTTTAATGTTTTTTGTTGGTGAATCCTTTCAATGCTGGTTTTTAAAGCTGTTCAGACACAGACAAGGAACGTAAAGGTACAGTGTGTAGAATTTAGTGACATCTAGTGTTGAAATTGCATGTTGCAGCCGAACACCCCTCACCCCAGTCTGGACTAATGTAAAAAACATGGCTGCGTCCGTAGAGAGGACACCCGTCAATGTAAATATAAAGTATTTAAATATAAAGGGCCTTTTCTTGGGTAAAGAAAACTACAATTCATATAATTAAGATGAAATGAACTATTGAAAACATCATGAGAATTATTCTACATCAAATTTCTGCCAATAGATCCCCTTTACCTAAATCTTACACACTGCACCTTTAAATTGGAGCCCTGAACTAAAACATAGGCCCCCTCCGATCTGCCTGTTCGCAGCTCAGCTGGGCTGAACTTTATGTTTAGAAATGACACCGGTGCTTCCCCCGTGCTGCCCCGATAGTAGCAGCTTCAGTGTATGAACATCTCAAAATGTTCTTTTTTTTTCAATTGTCACAGCCTCTTTGGTCTTCTTATGCCACTGCTGTTTAGTCTCCTATGTTTTTCTCCATGAAGGATTTTCTGTCCTTTATAATCCTTCATAAACTTTGATCATTTTCCTTGGCGATCTGTGTCTGAACTATCGCTCTGTCCAGCATCTGTCTGAAACATGACACCACGTGACCGCCAGTCAATTCAAAATGACATGTTCCCTTCAGCTGCTCCAGCCACAGGACTTGTGAATGCGTTTGGCTCAGAGGTTATGACTCATCTGAACACATCATCATTTGCACATTATTTATTGAAATGTATTTTTAAGTCGTTTTTCTTGTTTATTTTGTTGTTGCTTTGAAATGGGGACTTTAGCTCTGACTGCAGTGTGGGAAGCTCCACCGTGCTGTACGATGGCTCTATACTGTGTGTTTAGATAAACCTGTCACACAGGAGCACATGTGTTTAGATCTCAAAGGGACTTTCAAGTCACTGGCCACATATTCAGACGTAACTTTAGATTAGAGACCACTGGTGCAGTAAAGATACTATTTTGTCAAACTCAATCAGGAAATGAAGATGGATACAGAATGTGCCTCTGTAATCGCAAGATTGGATCTTTAATCCAAGTGTGCGGAATCGTAGACTTGCAACGTTTATTTATTTAAGTTTACTAAAGCAGTAAATCACTGTTAGTCTGAGATAGTGAAGAAATCAATGATTGAGTTAAAAAAAAAATTAGACTGATTACATTTGTCTCAAAGTTTATAAACTGTCTTCTATTCAGTTATCAACCACAACATAAAACTACATTTTACAAGTTTCAGTCAAACCATCCTCCTGTTTAAAAAACTCCAGCCACAGACTGCAAGTTATTTCTAGTGAGCTTTGAAACTTGACATCATAAATAAAACATTGAAAACTAGACTGGATCTCATTTTCAGTCTGATTTCATTCACACTCAAGTTCATTCCATTGTATTTAACACATCAAACAATATTCCAGGACATTATTTTTCCTCACCCGTGCTCTTGAACAGAGAATGATTTATTTACTATTTCCATGAATAGTAAGACGGCCTGTGAGGGAATTTCGGAACTGTGAGACATGAACATATTACACTGTGTGACTTTATGTATCTCCACACAGCAAATGGGAAAGATTAGTTCCCTTATGTGAATTTTGCTCCTTTTGCAAAAAGTCCATATTTTTGTATCAGTCCCAGCGAAGGCCGGACTGGACGGACCATGGGAAGACTGTGTGCTTGTGTACTTCTCTACAAAACCAGTTCAGACCATACACACGTGTTACTTGTACAATGAACGTTCTGGGAAGGGAGAGAGATTGTGTCACGATTTCACACCCGAGCAGTAAACTGGTTTTCAGAGAGAACCTGCACTACTGGGAAAAGAAGATGTTTTGGGCTCAAAGCATTTAACTTTGTAAAACTTCACACCAGATCTTTTTTTATTAAAGAAGTGTTCACAGGTCAAACACATAAACTTTTTTGGTCATGAATTGCAACCCTGTCTTTCTAAATATCTCTGACACACTGCCTCTTTAATTACCCATAACTCCAATGTTCTGAATCCTCACCCAGAAATGTCTGAACGAATTGATTTTCTTTTCTTCTTGCCAACAGCTTGTAAGATGTGTGAAAAGTGTCTGTGTCTGCATGCATGTTTTCAATGCAACACGTGCACACCCACGTACTTTGTGTCCATTCAGAGAAGTACAACTGCCCTCATCTGTACAATCTAATGAAGTCTATGGTCTGAAAGGCAGGTGGATGTTTTGATGAAAGCAGTGCTATGAACGATTAAAGGATTATTTGCTTACATGTTTTTTTTTTATTGATGATTTTATTACATCTGAACACAGTTGGCTGATCATTGATCAGATCACACGGCGTGCAGCAGGACACATTGTACAGAAGAATCATTTTGGTATCATATATCACATTTTTACTGCTATTCACTTCAATATTCTGCTGTTCAACATTTGCTCCATATAATGTTTAATATATCGAGAAAAACCTCGAACTGGAATAATGCACCGATTGATTTATAGAGCAGCTAAACTTTTTAGCATGAAAGATGCCAAGCTGGGCGATTCAGTTAACAATAATTATCACTATTTAATTGTCATCAATAGAAATATAACAAAGGTTCAATATCTATTTATATACTGCTTTTACATTGTGACAATTGATTGACCTCATATTTGTAAAACGTTTTGTGTTGATCAAGTGTTTGAGTTTCAAACCTCAACCTTCACTCAGGAGCAGAAATCTGTATTTAAACCAATCAGAAATAATAATGTGACATTTATCCTGATAGAGATATCGACTGATATGTTTTTATTGTGATGTGATTTCTGGCCATACCCCCCCGCTCTATAGGTAAAATACATTTAATGCTAAAAGTTCGTTGGAAAGATGTGACTGAAAACTTGTTTTTCATGGTGTGGTGTTAATGATTACTGCAATTAATAAACTGCTGAATCTGCCCGTTTCCTCTGCTGGCCAAAGGTCTCCCTCGGACTGACCATCCCAGCTCTCCTGTCCACACATCAGTCTTTCTGACAGACAGTCCTTCAGTTCTTACTGAGACCTGTGTTTAGCTGCTTTGGCTGACAAAGGAACGTTTTCAGACTTTAGGCTGCAGACAAACCAGAGACAGGTTGTGGAAGTGGATTTCTTCTAGTTACAGATTGATCACATTGTTTCAGGTGCAAGTGGACTAATGGAGAATCACTCGTCAGACAAGGTGACCATCAACAACCCAGCGGACATCTCCATCATCATTGGATATTTCCTCATGGTCGTCAGTGTTGGCATTTGGGTGAGTAAACAGACACTTACTCTGTATATGACCATAACGTATCTATGTCATATACATGTAATGTGAAAGAAGAAATGGTTAATGCTGCATGTCGTTCACGTTTGTGCTCTAGTCAATGTTCCGGACCAATCGTGGGACAGTCGGAGGATATTTCCTGGCAGGTCGGTCAATGAGCTGGTGGCCGGTGAGTTCAGTTTGTCAGAGTCAGACCAATAAAAACACTTTGTAAGCTGTTATCAGCTTCTAATTACAATTACAAGTTGTAGGACACAGCAAAGCCGAAGATACAGTATATTGCAGGTTATTTTGGAAAGTGTCACCATTTCATACTTTGTCCACCAGAGGGCAGTGACAAGTTTAATTTTCTTATACAAAATGTATGTAAAATAAAAATCAGGTACCATCATCAATGTTTCCTTATGTGATTCACAGTCTTTACATGCAAACACGTATAAAAAGGTTTATTAAGCTTCAGCAATTCAATGTTAAATCAACGTCTATCTTCCAAACCTACAGACGTTTTAAATCACTAAATTCTCTCTCTCTGTTTTATTCGCCTCTTCCATGGAAACACAGTGTGAAGTTTATACCAACACGACCATGCCTTTGTAGAACATTTATTTGTTTCATTAAAGAATGACCTAATTGACTTGAATGTTGGATTTATCACTTCCACTGGAGGCACAGAAGAGGTAGATCGTTCCATGGTCAGGATGAATATGACAAATTCAGTGATATCCACTATCCACTCAATTCTCTGTGCAGTGTATTCATATGCTACTGCACTTAGTTTTTAGCAAATGTGTATATTTGCTATGTATGTTTTGTCTACTTTCTATTTTTAATCCTGTGTTTGTATTTGTTTCTTTCAGTCGAATGTAAATTAGTATTGATGCTGTCTTAAAAAATGATGCTAATTATTATTATTAGTATTATCATCATTGTAATTGTTATTATAATGATTATTATTGTGTGCTCCTCTTGATTCAGGTCGGTGCGTCTCTGTTTGCCAGCAACATTGGCAGTGGACACTTTGTGGGTTTGGCCGGCACTGGGGCAGCTAGTGGCATCGCAGTGGGAGGGTTTGAGTGGAACGTAAGTCATGAATGTTTGTGTACCTCCATCTCATCGGACTGAATGAAGTCAGGGTTCATCATATGTCTGTTGTTTCACTGATGCCTCAGGCTCTTTTCATTGTGCTGCTGCTGGGCTGGCTGTTTGTACCTGTCTACCTCACGGCGGGGGTGAGTACGTCAGGCTGCATAATGACGATTTCAGTCCTTGACTCTTTTCACTAATGTGATGGATACACTGCTTTAGGTGATCACGATGCCCCAGTATCTGAAGAAGAGGTTTGGTGGAACCAGAATAAGCCTCTACCTCTCCGTCATCTCGCTGTTCCTCTACATTTTCACCAAGATCTCAGTGAGTCATTATGAGAACACACTATAAGACGAGGTTACAATATATATTGAATCCCCCTTGTATCTCCGTCCCTCGCTGCAGGTGGATATGTTTTCTGGAGCTGTGTTTATCCAGCAGGCTTTAGGGTGGAACATCTACGTGGCTGTCATCGCCCTTTTGTTAATTACAGCCTTGTACACCGTTACAGGTGCGTTGTGTCGAAACCAGGTCAAATGTATAATATATAATTATAGAGATTTTAAAGGGGGACTTCACAAATCTTGCACATGACAAATGTATTCATTTCAAAAGTTGTAAGACTGTTTTTTCTTGTATTAAAAACGTTAAACTGAGACATTTCTGAAAATGACCCTGATGTGTCTTAGTGATGTCATCAAGGTTAAGTTGCGTTGGACTTTGGAATTTGTATCAAACAAAGTTCCTCACAGCTGTTGAAGTGGGTATTTGTAGAAAGGGTGGAATGAAAATGATCCTGTGG